TCTAGTGGATAGAGTGTCTGCGCAGGGAGCGGGAGGCCGGTGGTTTCATGCCCGACCGCGTCATACCAAAAGAGATGCTGCTTGTTGTTACCCTGCCTGGTGCTCGGCCTTAATGGATATACCAAAAGACTGTGTCTGAGTGGGATATTCATCTTAAACTGTGGCATGGTATCTGAGTTGGCTAACACTATAAAACCGGCATTACTCCGAACTAGTACACACTAGTGTCGCTGATTTCTTGTCAATCTTGACATGTGGTAGCAATTCAATAATTTGCATTCCAAGTCAAATCTAAACTGACCAACTACTACTACTACTACTACTACTACTAGTACTACTACTACTACTACTACTACTACTACTACTACTACTACTACTACTACTACTACTGCTGCTGCTGCTGCTGCTGCTGCAGCTGCAACTACTACTACTACTACTACTCCTACTTCTTCTACTTCTACTACTACTAATACTACTAATACTACTACTACTACTACTTCTACTTCTACTTCTACTTCTACTACTACTAATACTACTACTATCACGATGCCAATCTCTGGTACTACTACTACAACTACTATCACTCACTCACTCACTCACTCACTGTTTTCAGGATAGTAACCTTTTGATTAGAAATTCTTTGGTCAAATCTAATTTTGAACAATATAGCAGTTTCGCATGCATGTGAATACTCTGGGTTAATATGCCCCAAGTACAGATTACAATTCCTGTATCCGGTATACAAGCTGTCGACAGCTTGTTAAACAAAGCGTCATGGAGATTTAGTCATTGACAACATTATCGACAGGCTTTACAGATTTATTGGAATGTCGTCTTATCTAGATTGAGCTGACACTTATACTTAAGCTGTTGAATCTGGTGGCTGTTTTGTTCATCAATGATATTTTTTGCTTTTACCAAATTATTAAAGACCTATCCACGTATGACAAACATATGTGGTGACCGCCATAACCAGTTAAACACAGATTACACACATGGGGCATAGGATACATTGTCAAGGTTCAGGTTCAACATGGGAGTGAATACTAGTAGTTATTGGGGCGGAGCTGGGACTTTTTTGAAAAAAAACATTCCATGAAAAGGCTTGAATCAACATGTATGCCTCAGACTTCAGAAAAAAAAAAATTGGCTACCACTAAAACGCATTGTTGCAAGATACGTTTTAAAAGAAAATATTAAGGCTCATGGTTTTAATATACTGAAAAGAAACGTCAATTTTGTCAATGTTTCTAAAACTTAACATTACCTTGTCCGGAAAAAAGTGAAATTTGATGATAACAAAACAAAGCAGATGACAATAAAACCGATCGCCCAAACGCATCACGGCAACGACCATGGTAACCCGATGCACGTGAGTTCCGTGCAAAGTGAAATGCACATGCGTTCCCCCATGTCTTGCCCTATAAAAATCCACACAGATCGGATAACATTCATTCGTTATTGAATTGCTACCACAAGATTGACATGAAATCGGCGACACCAAGCCCTTGGACGATTGCAAGCTGGACAAACCGCCCGGCAAGTAGCCAATGCATTTCACTACAGATGACCGACCCCGTAGTGGAAGACCAAGGGTCACCACCCGACGTCAGGATCGTCAGATTGTGCGACAGCATCTTCAAGATCGCTTTGTTACTGCTGCGGAAACTGCTCGACAGACCATGGGGACACCCCAGCGACACATCAGTGCTGACACTGTGCGTCGACGATTGACGAGCAGACACTTCCACTGTCACAGGCCACACTGAGGACCCATTATGACACCACGTCATCGCCGGGATCGTCTTCAGTGTGCAACACAGCACCAGCATTGGCGCCACCAGCTGTGGAGAAGTGTCCTCTTCTCAGACGAGAGCCGTTTCTGTATCTCAACAGCAGATGGCAGAGGGAGAGTCTGGCGACGCCGTGGGAAACGTTATTCGGATGCTTGTGTTGTTGAGAGAGACTCGTGGGGCGGTCCGAGCATCATGGTGTGGGGTGGAATTGATCTTGCACAGATGGTCGGCCCTGTGGTCTTCCAGAACATCGGTCCAGGGAGAGGCAATGGTGTCACAGCAGCTGTACATTGATCAAGTCTTGAGACCACACGCCATACCTCATTTGGCACGTCGCCGCAACCACGAGTTTCAGCATGATAATGTCCGTGCCCAGACTGCAAGAGCAACAAGAGACTTGCTCCAGCAGAATGGCATCAGAACCATGCAGTGACCTGCCCTCTGTCCCGATGTAAATCCCATTGAGCACCTGTGGAACGAGATTCAAAGACGGCTGAATGACGTCCGACCAAGGCCGACAACTGCAGCTAAACTGCGTCAGGCGTTCCTCAGAGTGTGGGCTCAAGTGCCTATGGCCTTCACCAACCGCCTCATCCATTCCACGTATCGACGTTGCACGGCAGTCATCAATGCACATGGCGGATACACGAGATACTTACTTGTGATGCCATGTTTTTAGAGACTAGTGTTGTGTTTCACTTTAGGAACATTGGACACTTTAATTTCAACCTTCATGATCAGTTTTGCCAAGTTACGTTTTTTTATATGTCTCAAAGTAAGTTGACAGTGTTTGGACAAATAAGGTTTCTCATATATCTATCCATGGTGACGTTTCTTTTGCGGTTCAGTATATATATATATCATTCAAACGTCTCAGCTTAATCCTGATATTAGCTGTAGTGCCAAGACAATCAATCGGCTGATTCAGGTCCATTATATCAAACCAAATGCTCCGTTCTACACCGGCCAGGTCTGTTCACATGAATCGAGTTGCGAGTAAATCGGTTTAATCCAGTACGGATGTGAGTGTAATTATAGTGAGAAATAGTGTACTGATCTTTCACATATTTGAGGCCCCCGTGTACTGACAATGGTACCTACATCAGAAGAATGTATAACTGGACCAGTACTTTTCATTTGCATTGTAGATACGACGCCAGTGGTGTCAAGTACGCAGATTATGGCCTAAACAAAGATGGAGAAGTGTTATATTCAGCGAGTCACGCTTTATGCTGCGTCGAGTCAATAGGAAAACCAGGGTGAACCGTCGCCATGGACGTTTTGCCGCCAACTACTGGGACGTCAGACAGTACTTGACGCTAATGGTGGACACTGACGAAGTCTCACGACCTTGACCTTTGTCATTTTTCGTGTAATGTCTTGTATCCACTTAGTCTAACTTGTCCTATTTTAATTATGTCATCACTCGTCAAATTTTCAGACGTGCACTACGTATTGTGTCAGTTCCGACACCAAAATTATGGTAATGCGTTTCTTTTTATTAAGAGTGTAGTATAAAGTAGGGAGTCCGCTGCCATTTCACTGTCCATCATTGTTGATCCCAACCGATAAATCACTGGTTATGAATTAGAAATGGAAATATATGTTTGTGTCAGAAAAAGGTTTGAAGCAATCTTAACAATAGCTTATTTACCGATTGAATTCTTGTTCATTCAAAAGGATGTTAATTTAGAGAAAATCAAATAAGAGAAAATGGATCAAAGTTTATCTCAGCGACAAGTTTATTATCATGTGTATGTTATGTAAATGCGATTTTATGTGGACAAAAATAAACATTAGGTAAATAGTGCAGATACTACTGTAAAATCGTACTTATTCGTAATGCACATTTCCCTGGCTTATTTCCCAACCACTCTTATAATTACACTTCTCCTTAAAAAAAGAAGAAGATAATTTAACTGTATACGTTTAACGACAGGCAGATGATTTAGCTTTAGATATTAACTTAAGTAATCTATTATTTAACAAATAATCGGATAATCAACACACCTATTATAGAGACGCTGTTCGAATGAATAACTTGACAGGGTGATGCCAGAGCTACATTGAAGCTTGTAGGAATCTTATAATGAATAGATATTGTTTCGTGGGAATTGCATGACGAGCACCAAGTGGAGCGTGTGTGAAATCAACAATGTTAGAATTTTGAGTTTGTGAATGTTCTCATTCCTGCTTGCTACGGGCTCAGTCACACATTCAGGATTTTTACTGCCGTCCTTGATAGGACCATTCCCGATTAAAATTTGTCAAAAGTCTGTTCAAGATCCTGTGATTCGTGGCGGGAAATTCACAAACAATCAGATATTGTTCAGGAAGCGTCCCGATTCAGCCGTTTCCAGTCGAATATCGTCACGATTCTCCCGTTCTCCATCCGAATCTGCTCCAATTTTTATCTTCCGCATGGTAAAAAAAACGATCGAATCTGTCCCGACAGCGTCCCGATTCTCCCGAATGCGATCCGACAGAGATCAGACAGTGACCGGACAGTGAACCGACAAAGACGGTTCGCATTCGGCAAGATCTGGACGCAATCTGGACTCAATCAACAAGAAACGGCAATGAACAATTCATGCCCGTTCATCACGACAGCGTCCCGATCCACAGAACACCGTCCAGACAACACAGGGCATAAGCAGAATCTGTGACGACATAGTCACGATTGTAATCAGACTAGACAAAATCGGCTGAGTTTCCCGAATGTTACGGGATGCACCATACTGTCGGGGGTGCTTGGTCGACCTCTCTGGACCTTTCCCGATCCGTAGGACTCTGTTACGAACGTATCCGACTGCGTTCAGACATTGATAGGACATTCCAGATCATTGAGGATAGTAATCCGACTTTTCGTGTCATAGCTCTGTCTGATCTCAAACGGGAGCCATAATCGGCCCTGTGTGAACCTGGCCTAACATGTGAAAACGTTGCGTGTTAATATAGGAAATATGAGTGAATGTGATATATATGAGTGTGTACTAAATCTGAAATGTGTTACTTTCTTCGTTTCTAATAAATATATGGTGGATTGCAAATTACTGTTTTGTTTTTACTTATTGATTATTTAAAAAAATGTATCTAAATGGTGCAAATTTCTCCAACGACATTTGGTGCTTACGAAGACTTGAACGTGCAACATACATGCAGACCCACACGACCTGTCCATGAGGCAGGGAAATTAGAGTGACGTCCCTTGAATGGCAGAGTTATCAGTGACAGCGCATTCTATTGACGAGAAAATTACATCGATGGAATTTTCTCAAACTGAAAATGAGCAGTTCAAAGGAAGATTTAAGGCAAATAATCTCTAGTTTATCTAGCGCGTCGTCAAGCAAGGTTTACAATGCTCTCGTTCATGTAAGAACGAAGGCGATAAAATCGCAAACCGTTCTGAAGAAAATTCTGTCACAAGGATTGATTCCACAAATCCTCAAAATCCTGGACAATGCTGACACGACAGAGAAGAAACCGAAGATTGCCGATATTGCCCTTAGTATCCTTGGTAACCTTTGCATGGAACCAGACACCAGAAACGATGTGAGAAAATATGTCGTGTTATGACGTGTATTTTTTTTCTATCTTTTTTTTTTTATTCATAAGACCCAGCCTGTGGATACAATGATAGACTGGACCGCAAGGAATTGAAAATAGAATAGAATCAAGTTCAATTTCAACCCCAAGTTCTTCCTATCGAATGTATGTCTCATTATAATTATTATGGACTGGTCATGACAAAAGATATGGGGGTCACAGGATTGTAATTTCAAATCCACATGTGGTTCTGGAATCCTTGCTGGTGGGATTCTATCTTGATACAAATCGGAAAAGTGTCCTTGTCATTGCGCTTTAGGGCTGGGACGGGTCCAAATTTACTACCCAGGTACCCATCACACTATTACCCGACCCTACCCGGGTACCCGTTGTAGATATTTAGAGATAGGTACAAACTGTCCGATTTGGAAAGGTTTTACCATAACCCTGGCAAAATGTATATAGATACATGTGTAAAACGATCCGCTTATGCATACACTGAAGTTTAATGCATGAAGTTTTATCTTTATTCAAACATATAAAATTAAGAAGGAATGGGTGCATTGTCAGAAAGAAATGGGAATATTAGTGACTTATAGTGTAACCATAGAGTTTTAGACAATTTTTGTCATTAAACAATATATATCACGTGACTAGTCACGGGTCCAGGTAGTCCTGTGGGTACCCGGGTCCTACTCAGGACCCACCCAACCCAAGTTACCCGTCCCAGCCCTATTGCACATCATTAAGTAAACAGTCGTTAATTAGTTTGGTCATGGTAAAATGTGATGATAACTGAACCAAAAAAAACAAGTTATCCCATCATAATCATGACTACCCTGTTTGGTATCGCCCCGTTAAGATCCGGGGTAGAATATAGGTCTTCAGCAACCCATGCTTGGCGTTCAGGGCAACTATGTTTGTCGTTAGAGGCGACTAACGGGATTGTGTGGTCAGGCTTGCTGACGTGGTTAATGCATGTCATCGACCCCAATTGCGTGGACCAATGCCCATGATGTCAATCACTGGATCGTCTGGTCCAGAGTTGATTATTTACAGACTGCCGTCATATAGCTGGAATATTGCTGAGTGTGGCGTTAAACAACAAACAAACAAACTGTCTGGTATCATTAGATGAGGCAACTCTAAATGGTCACCGTATTGTGAATTTTGGACACACACTCACAGACGTTAATTCATAAAATGTTCCTCCGTCTTAACCACCACGAACTAACACCTATGTTTACACTGAATTGCAGCATATGCATACGATAGAATCAATACTAAAACCCCACAACTGACGAACAGAACACTTATTGCCAAGTCAAACTAGTTATCAACTGTTTTGATTATGCTCAGCTGGATAGTTAGCATGTGGGCAAAGATATATATAGATCTATATACGTCTTTGTGATGCGGAACAGGAAAGAAAAGAGACAACGGGGGTACAGTGGCCCTCCAATTACTAATTTCAAGGGTCCTTACAGGAAATTAGTTTGTTTGTTGTTTAACGCCGCACTCAGCAATATTCCAGCTATATGACGGCGGTCTGTAAAATAACCGAGTCTGGACCAGACAATCCAGTGATTGACATCATGAGCATCAATCCACGCAATTGGGATCGATGACATGTATCAACCAAGTCAGCGAGCCTGACCACCCAATCCCGTTAGTCGATTTTTACGGCAAGAATGGGTTGCTGAAGACCTATTCTACCCTGGATCTTCACGGGTTTACAGGAAATATGAGGGTCCTGTACGGTAATGAAATGGTGTAGTGTACTGTACAGTAAGATTTGATAATTACTTTAATTACAGGAACATTATATGTCTTGTCAAGAATTTGGTACGATAAATATTATTGGGACACATTATATATTTTTTTCTGCGTCCATTCTCTACCATGTGACAATTACTTTTATGCCATTCAACTAACAATAAGGGCCATGGAGATCATGATAATCATATATTTCACGATTTGTCAAAATGAGCAATTTTTCTGATACAGGTTGTAAATTGTCATAAGATGATACAAGGGTGGTCATACTACTTTGATGATATGCAAGAACATCATATGTCATCATTTGCATATGCAAATATATCAATAGATATCGTACACATTAATCATGTTGATAGTTTCCAGATAAATAAAAAACTGGAAATAGAGAGTTAGAGTGTCCTATAGATGACCTGTTTGTAAGACATGAATGGTATTGTTTATCTTTTGTTTCAGGTCATTACAAGGAATGGAGTTGAAGCTTTGGGTGAGTTAGTCTTGCATGTCTAATATCAAGTGACATACTATTGAGTCAGTAGACATCAGTGTAAGATCAGTACCATCTTTTTAAAAGTTGCATGTAGGCTGGTCAGCGATAGAAACTAACAGTTTGAATCCACTAGTCCTTATAATGATAGTGGTCTAGTGGTAGAGCATCCGCCGAGAGAGCGGAAGGTCTGGTGTTCAATCCCTGGCTGATTCATACCAAAAGACGTTAAAAGATGGTACTTGTTGTGACCCTGTCTGGCACTCGGCATTAAGGGGCAAAAACAAGGAATGGTCGGCTCGGAGTCAGTATACTGTGTTTGAGTGGGGTATTCATATTAAACTGCGACATGGTATCTCAGTGTGCTAGCACTATAAATCTGCATCATTCTGGACTAGTACAAGCAGCCACACACACACACATGCACCTCGCTAAATAAGTGCAATAATCTTGGACACGACGTTAAACCCAATTTCACCCCGCCTTATAATGACAACATATAGCAAAACCCTTAAAAGGGCAAATTTCTACTGGTCCGTATAATACCTTAACTTTTGGGCAAGGACTACAGGACTAATGTCAATGTCTAAAGCTGGGGGTGGAATGAGATGAGTTTTGAATAGTATTTCAGTTATGCCAAAATGTCAGCTTATCAGCGGTAGAAACAAACATTTTTGGTCCACTAGTCCTTATAATGATAATATATAGCAAAATCCTTAAAAATGGCAAATATCTACTAGTCCTTATGATACCTTATCTATTGGGCAGTTTGGCAAGGACTATAAGACTAGTGTCAATTTCTAACGCTGCTTATTGTCAGAAGCCTGAGTTGGCAATCTGTGTCTGTGTAGGTACGTAAACACACCCATCAACCAAGTCAAGTCTAAACATCCAATCCATTTAGTCGCCTCTTAAGACCAGCATATGTTGCTGGGGACCTATAGTCTTCCCTACGTCTATACAGATTAATTAACAAGTGACCCTAAAGTTCATTTTTTGTATGTTATTAACAATCTACAATTTTGATCAATTTAGTGCTTTAAAATGCTATGTTATTTGGCATCGCACTTAAAATATTAGCGTTCATTCTCAATATGTCAGTGTACAGGTAAAACCCCACTCGGTAAAAAACCCTGTCCGGTGAAAAATACATATTGTGTTCCAGCCCGCCATCTACTGGAATCGTCAGTAGAGAGCATACAGAACCGAAGTTGTCGAGGTCTGGCTAATTTGGCCCTCACTCCGTCAGCCTGTTCCCAGATCATCAGCTTAGAAACATTACCCCGGGTTGTCAAGCTGCTCGATGAGACCAAGTCTAAAGAATGCAAGCTCACATACTGTCGAGCATTCCGGTAAGGCGTTTTTATTTACTTGTTTTCGAGGACTCACTGACACAAAATGTGGCAGATTTTGGATAAAATTCATTCTTTAGAAGTTTTTTTCTTGACATCAATAGAGGAAGGGAAATAGCCATGATTCCCAAACAAATTTTCTTTCATTTTTTTTTTAGCTCCCCTGACTGAAAGTCAATTGAGTTCATGTCATGGCCTGTTTGTCTGTCATCCGCTGTGCTTCGTGAACATCTGCTCCTCAGAAAACATTGGACCAATGAAGCTGAAACTTGCTCATGATATCAATCACTGGATTGTCTGGTCCAGACTCGATTATTTACAGACCGCTGTCATACAGCTGGAATATTGCTGAGTGCGGCGTTAAACAACAAACCAACCAACCCATGTACTTGTCTTTCACCTAAGTGGTGAGCTTACTCATTTTTCAAGGAATAATGTCAGGTGTGTCATTTGTTTTATTCAGGGTTCAGTGACCTGGGTTTCAAGGTTATTGACCCTTGAAGAAAACAAATAACACTCCTTTTCTGAGCAAATTGATTCCATTGTCAATCTGAAGGAGAATAGTCTCATGTATGATGTGATCAATCCAGTGATTGATATTGTGAGCAACAATCCACACTGTTGGGTAACTATGACCTGCCACCAAACACCATACTGTTTGAAGAATATTAACCCACACTTGCTGTGAGATATACATATGGCTGCTGTCTCCGAGTCATTCCTATGTGATGTTTCAGGCTTCTAGGACGGGTTCGTGATAACCAGAGGAGAGTTGTGGAATCAGGTGCTGTGCTGCAAGTCGCTAAGCTGCTGAAGCATGACGATGCAGAGATTGCTAAATGTGCACTGAGGACGTTGTCTGAGCTTATTAAGCCTGGGTGAGTTAACCAAGAAAGAGAGCACAAACTCTGATTCACTTCATTATAAGGTCATTTTCCCTGATCAGTGCTCATTAACCTACTTGATAGTTCCTTACATGTCAAGTCAAGTTTGAAAGTCGACCAAATCAGACAATTATTGACAGATTTTACCACAGTTATTGTGTGGGCAATTCTCACATTAACAGATCAGATTCAGTAAGCCAAATCCGTCAATAGTGACAACAGGGTTAGAAACTGGCACTAGTCCTATAGTCCTTGCCAAACTGCCCAATAGTAAAGGTATCCTAAGGACGAGTAGACATTTGCCATTTTTAAAGGTTTTGCTAAATGTTATCATTATAAGGACTAGTGAACTGAAACCTTTAGTTTCTACCGCTGGACAAGGTCACACGATAATGACAAAGTTGGCGGTGCTTGTTTCCAGATGTTAACTGCCAGCTTATATGTCGGAAGGAATATTGTAAAAGTAAATAGACCTTTACTCACTCACGCATAATGTCTGTATATCCAGAAAGGGATGGTAGAGTAACCTTGTGGTTAAAGCGTTTGCTTGTCTTGCCGAAGACCAGGGTTTGATTCCCCACATGAATACAATGTGTAAAGCCCATTTCTGGTGTCCACCGCTGTAATATTGCTGTAATATTGCTAAAAGCAGAGTAAACCTATACTCACTCACTCACTCACTCACTCACTCACTCACTCACTCACTCACTCACTCACTCACTCAAGAAATAAAAAACAAACTTTTTCTCAAACAGATGCTGCTCAAGCTTTGCTCGACAAATTATCGGCGCTAATATTCTGGACAAGCTTGTGTCAACTGTTGATAGTGACAATGACGATGATTCCCACGACGCATTGTCAACACTTTACAACCTCACCAACCAAGCTGACGTCCGGGCAGCCATCGGAGCAGCAGGAGGTATTCAACTCTTTGTACGTCTGCTGCAGCAGGAAAACAACAGAAGTCACATCAACGAGATATCCGTCATCAATGCTTTGTGTTTATGCGGCAAAGAGGCTGTCAATCGGATCAAAATACGACAACAAGGAGGTCTGGAGCTGTTTATTAATGTGCTTAGGGAGCCCAAGTTTGCTCAGATCCATGACCGAGTTATCAGTGGGTTGGTCTGCTTCTTGTATGACTTTGACAGTATGGATGTGCTTCTGGAGAACAACCTTGTGGAGGTGCTTCTCATACACCTGCAGAGATGTGGAGATTTTAAGTCATCTGTTGAAACCATTAGATTTCCTAATCACACAGGGAGGAACAAGTCGTTGAAGCCCTCAGAGAAGCTATCTACCTCACGTGTCAAGTGTGAAGTTTCCTTGTGCTCATTGAATGAAGACCAGTCTGACCTATGTTTGGAGGCTGATGCAAGTGGCACTGATGAAAGAGGTGCTTTATCTTTGAGACCAAAAGATCTGACCATAGATCAAGCTTATGAAGTTGAAAATGAAGACATTGAAAGTGTTCCTTTGGACAGGGCATCTTTTCAGGGACACCCACCGAAGCAGCTTCACAAATTTAGCATAGACAGTCCTTCTTATGAAGTCAACACTGAATGGAATCTTGAAAACTTTGCTGGACAGACATGTAAGCAGAGTTTCAGCCAACACAGTGACTTGAGGTCCCCCTCCCCTGAACCACCTCTCAGTCCACTCAGCCCCCTCAGTAACGACACTTACTTCTCCCCCGCCCAGTCATCCCCGTCTTACAGCCTCCCCAGGAGTCCTGAGTCTTTGCCAGGGAGTCCATCAGCTTCTAATTTGGACTCTGAATACCATCCAGTGCTTAGTGTTCCCTATACTTGTGGCAGTCCTGAGAAGGCTCCCTCTGACTCAGAGTCCACTAGTGCTGTGAATGTTGACCAGCAGCCGTGCTACTCCTCAACTGAAGAAGATGATATTTGTGATACTATAAGACAGAAGGATGAAGCAGAGAAAGATGAAGCAGAGAAAGATGAGGACTGTCCATCTCTGGACACAACGTCTACAGATGTTTCATCCGAGAAGATTGAGAAGCCAGAATCGGTTGAAGATTCAGAGCCAAGAGAAGACGAAACAGTTGAGGTTATCAGCAAAAATGTGTATGGAAAGCGACCCCTAGCTTTGAGGTCACCTTCTTACAAGCTGGTCGAGTCGTGCACAAAGCGGAAAAAGACAGAATCAAAGAGGTCGGACATCATGAAGACTACGGAACACAACCTTCTGATCCTGTTGTCCAGAATATCAGTGAAGACCAATCCCTCCATGTATCTCATAACGTCCACTGCGATGTCCTGCCTCTTGGACTACCTTTTCTATGTACCCCTACCTCATTCCCGGTGTGTCAGAACAATGTCCCGCTTATTCAAAAACCCTCACTGCCTTGAATCGTGCCTTCTCCTCACAGTACCCGTTATCATCTACAAGAAAATCATCCTGGATGTGGATGGGATTGACAAAGAGACTTACGAACACTTTAGTCAGAGATCATCCCATTCCCGCCGATGTAGCCGAGTGAGCACGTCATCCGAGGACTCGTTCTGTGGAGGGTATTTGACGAATTTGGAGAACAGCTATCCTGGGTCCACAAGCGGTACCAAAGACAATGCTTTGGACTTCACCCATGGCCTTCTGGCATCACCAACTTCTCCCCGAAGTGAGACCGAGATCAGCTTCAAGGTCGGCCAGTCACCAATGTCCCAGAATGCAGCCGAGCTCAGTGTTGCTGATGTGGGACAAAGTGGGCTGAGTTTGTTGAAGGATCTGAGTTTCTCTGCCGAGTCACCGTATGGGAAGGGGATCATCTCCTCCATCCTGGTGAGGGGATCTCAGAAGGACAAATTACTGTGTACCGTCTCCCTGCTCTTCCTGTGTTGGTGAGTATGATATGCAATATTTGAGTATAACATTAACAAGCAATCAATCCCTGTGGGGATTAGTAGTTGGACTATAGGATACGATATAGTGGATCACGATTTTTGCCTTCTTAATACAAGTATTGAAAACAGTCCCACACGAAGTAACAAATATTGATTATTGCCTAAACTGTTTTACTTTTACTGCAGGGTTCACTCCAGGATTTTTCTGACATGGACCGTTTAACTGAAAATTTTAAATATTCAGCAACACTAAACTAATTGTCAAATTTAGGGGCTAAACACATAAGGCCCCACCCTAGAATTATCCCTGTTACTGTTACACCAAACCCTAATTAGCAGTGCAGTTTAGTTGTGAAAAGGTAAATATTTTCATCCATTGTGCCATACTTGACATTGCCAACTGTAAACCAGTGTGCAAGGTATTTGGCCATCCTGAGCACGGGCAAGTATTGTGATATTTATCAGATTGTGAGAGACGTATTGTGATTCATTTCGAACACATTTTCGCACAATTGGTGTATCGTCCAAGCCGTAATGGGGATTGGGTGTCATACGTAGACGATGTGAGATGCTGCTCATAATGTCAGCCACTGGTTCTTTTGGCCCTGAGTTCAGGAGTTTAAGAGATGAATGGGCTTGGACACGAGACCGAAGGTAGAGGGTTGTACACAAATGTCCAGCTGTGACTCCTGTACACCCCACTGGTGACACAAGTAGCAAATTTATCAATTCACATGGTACAATATAAGTTGTAGCAGTATCCCTCGGGGTACACATGATTTTATGTGGTATAAAACCTAACGAGGGACTCATAAAACCACATGTACCTCGAGTGACGAATTTATGATGCTGATATGTTTTAATCTTCAACATGTTCAAGCAAGATCTTAAAACAAATTCAAAATTGATTGAAAACAGCTGTTTTTTTATTGAGCTGAGGTTAACTTGTGCTTTGTAATGTGACTTTCATTGACTCGGAAAAAGTGTGTGGCTTTTTGCTTTGAAGCTGGGTACAAGGGATTTATTCTCATGTTGAGAAATCCACATGCCTGTTTTCTTTGCATGCTTTGTGGTGGGGTTTAAAGTATTTAGTCTCCCGTTGAGACATTTATTTCCCTCCAAGGCGGGATACATCATATTTTATCAAGTTTACTCAACCAATCGGATCTTATCATTCTGACATGGAGGTATGATAAAATTTAATGTCTGTGAAATATTTGTGTGACAATTGGATCTATCTTGTGACCGCCGTCAGACTTGATGGCAGCTTGAAGTGCGAACAGATCAGTAGTGACGTAAAACAAGTGGTGTCACACCAAACATTATACGATCATGAGGCCAACAAGACAGTGACTAGCCATTCAGACAGATTCTGTCACCAGTAATTGGAAAAGTATTTTCAGGCTCCTGTAGCCACGGTAGCTGGAATATTGCTGACTGCAGCGTAAAACTACAAACAAGACAGATTATAATTCAGTCAATGTGTGATGTTGTGTTCAAGGGAAATCATTCGGTCAATGTATGATGTTGTGTTCAAGGGAAATTATTCAGTCAGTGAATGATGTTATGTTCAATCAATCAATCAATCAATCATGATGTTATGTTCCAGGGGTATCACTTGGTCATTGAATGATGTTATGTTCAAGGGAAATCAGTCAGTGAATGATGTTATGATCAATCAATCAATCATGATGTTATCACTGGTTATGTTCAGTCAATGTATGATGTTATGATCAATCAATAAGTCAGTGTATGCTGTTATGTTCTAGGGGCTCCGTGATGCAGAAGCAGTACTTGATCCGGTACAGGGTTCTGGACACAGTCCTGGAGCTTCTCAAGGCAGAACTCCTCGACCCAGGACCAGTTTTCATGGCCATCGTTGCTGGTCTCACATTCATCTGTAAACTCAACAGCATTCCTCTCAAACTGAAGCAGGAGAGATCAGACACAGTGTTCAAACCTGCCACTCAGTCCGAAATCTCCAACAGTGACCAATGCATATATGAAGGTCTTGATGTGGATCTTGTATTTAAAGTTGACAGTAAACAGATCCATGCCAATCGAGAAAAACTTGTACAGTCGTCTGCCATGTTTCTGGCCATGCTCGAAGGTCATTATTCAGAATCCAGTCAATCGGAAATCGCCATTCAAGACACGTCGCCAGAAGCATTGGAGTATGTGCTCCATTATCTGCAAGGGTGTAGTCTGGGGTGCTCTGTTATGAAGAAAGTCAACTCAGATACCGATGATGTGACTGTTGAGTTTCTTTTAGATGCTCTAGCCCTAGCAGATAGATTCCTCCTCTCAGACCTGGTCCAGTATCTGAAAGTGTCGATCTCATCTCACCATCTGGATTCAGAATCATGTGCCACAGTGTTTGGGTTCGCGTCGTTTCATGAATTCTCAGACCTGGCATCGGACTGCGTGAAGGTGGTGCTGTGTTCGCCGATCAGTCTGTCGGACAAGTCGCAGCTGTTGGCACAGATGCTGAGTGGTGAGTGTGCCGAGATATTTGTGGAGATGCTGAAGACTGTCCTGAGGGAGGGAACACAATGATTTTGTCAGTCATAATGAAATAAATTATTTTGAATCATTGTTTGGCCATGTTTTACTCGATGAAGAACCTAATGAGGACCTTGGTTAGAATTGGTCCCCAGAACTTGAAAGAGGCAACGAAATTGGATCCGGTCATCAGGCCTAGTCATTTGGTGTCATTGAACCACTGTAGACTAGGACATTAATTGCTCATATCATCCAACCGTTTGTCTGGCCGAGACACACTTGCAGTCATGTGTACACTGAAAGGCAATAGACCCGTGAAGATCCAGGGTAGAATAGGTCTTCAGCAACCCATGCTTGCTGTAAAAAGCGACTATACTTGTCGTTAGAGGCAACTAATGGGATTTGGTGGTCAAGCTTGCTGACTTGGTTAATGCATGTCATCAATCCCAATTGCGTGGATCGATGCTCATGATATCAATCACTGGATTGTCTGGTCCAGACTCGATTATTTACAAACTGCCATCATATAGCTAGATTATTGCTGAGTGCGGCAAAACCATAAACCAACCAACCAACTGAAAGCCAATAGAAGGTCCCTCCTGACTACGTGAGTGAGTATGGTTTTACGCTGCTTTTAACAATATCACACCAGGGGATTGTGAAAGTGACAACTTTGACACTGTTTGGTGCACAGTCAATCTATTATAACCAAATCTTTGTGAACACATTTCCTATGTTGAATATGGTCAAAGAGAAAAGTCAGTGAATGAAATTAAAGGGGTCATACACAGGAATGTTACAGAAAACACAAGTCATCCAAGGATGATGATTAGCAAGAGGCAGCACACAGTCCTATCCAACACTGGTCCTTGTTGCCTTTGCCGTCTGCAATGCCCAGTATCTGAGATGAGAGTGATCTAATGGTCATGAGGGAGGCACGGGTGGCCCAGTCGTCTAAGGCGCCGTGATTCGCTGTGCAGAGTTGCGTCCCTTGGACACGCCAGAAACCTATGATTGTGGGTTCGAATCCCGGTTCGCCCCAATTATGTTTCTAGGTTTGTCAGCACCATACCCGTGCTCGTGGGTTTCACCGAAGTGGTAAACGTCTGAGACCTGCATCACTTCGGCCTTTCCCCCCACATTAAGCTGACACGCCGTGATATAACTGGAATACTGTTAAAAGCGGCATTAAACCCAACTGACTCAGTCACTAATGGTCATGAGCAGGGTTGGCAAGTCATGGTCATCCGGTTCCGGGATGATCAAGAGTGCTGTCAGTTCATCAGTATCATGCTGAACACCTGGTTAGCATCATGTGATCGCAGTTGTCGCCTAGCAACAGCACAAGCAACATTCTTATTGCCCTCCCACTTTCATCTGCGGTCAATCGAGGCATTGTTTCTCAATTGACTGTGGAACATGATTGATTCTAGATGTGAAAACAACCGAGATCACGCATGTCGGAAAAAGGAACATTTTGTTGAGCATTTTTCATGATTTGCTGAACCTGTTCATTGCATGGATGTCAAAGGTCATACTACACAAAACAGTGCTGAACAGATCACTTATAAACACATTCCTCCCGTTAAGCTGATGCGAAATACTTTCTGTTGCCTCTCCGTATGGTTGGAATAGAGCAGACTGTGAGGTGTAAAACAACAATTGCTCATGATATCAATCACTTGATTGTCTCGTCCAAACTCGATGATTTTCACTGTGTTTTGTTACAGCCATATCGATGTGGGGAACACCAGGAAATAAAAAAACAGAAGATGTTGCTAATGGACTGAGAATTTATTCACAATTGCATGGTTTTGTACAGTCATTACGAGACAACGCTATGATCAGTTGGTACAGCAGAGGCTTCAGCCAAACATGTCACACACAGCCAAGGCCATCCCACCAGGCCAGTCAACGCCCTGAACCAAACAACACAAGGAGCTCCAACAGACAGGTCCACTGAAGTGTGACCAGAATGCTTCATAAATACTATAAGGGTAACGCTATTTTTCAGGGCATTATCATTTGCAGAAGTCTGAGGTCTTCCATTAACTGCCCGACGAAGGAGGGCAGTTGAAAAGACCGAGGGCTTCTGCAAATGATAATGCCCTGAAAGATAGCATTACCGTTGTTATAGCTAAAATGGATGGAATTTGTTATGAAATAAAAAGAAACAACAATATCGATTTTGAAAGATTTACTGCAATCAACACGAATGTCACTGACCCACTTTTACAAATATGGAAACGTCATTGAACAAACCAGATGGTGTCACTATTGAACGTTACGTCACCTATCCCTATCCCTATCCTATGACGTCACCTAACAACAGGCGTGATAATGGCCCGTCATCAAGTAATATGAGGGCATTATCAAGTTACAGTGGCCCGCTCATTTCTGATAACATGCGGGTGTTTTTATGATAATTCTATCCATTTTAGCTGTAATTATTCTTTGACCAGGACGCCTCACAAACACAAGAGTTTCCAAGGTCGTGATCAATTACCAGGATCACAAACACATGGGTTTCCCAGGTCATGATCGATTACCAGGATCACAAACACATGGGTTTCCCAGGTCATGATCAATTACCAGGATCACTATCACATGGGTTTCCCAGGTCATGATCAATTACCAGGATCACAAACACATGGGTTTCATGTCAACATACAATTGGTACAAATTAAATCAAATACCTTCAATCAAGCCCTGGTCAACACATTCATCATGTTTAGGCTTTCATCCTGCAAAATATTTCTCCCAAAAATGACATAACAGTAATTGTTACTTGCGTGTGTAACAGGTTTTTCAGGTTGTTTCAGTGTTCAGGAATTCTACAACAAAATGAATCTAACGCTGTTTCTATGCTAGGAGTGCGAACATTTAGTAGCAAGCAGAAGCAGTTTTAAATAGATCTTTGTTCTTTCGGACTTTCGTTTGTTGTTTAACGCTACACTCGGCAATATTCCAGCAATATAAGGCCTCACTTTTTAAATCTTATGTTTCACGGATTGAATCCAGCTTTGCGACACAAGGTCAATCGAAATAAAAATAAATGTCAATTATTATTTATTTACATGCAAGTCATGAGGCTGTGGAGTTGCAGTTGGCCTCTTGCATCACGGACAGTGATGTATACATGGAATTTATATGTAATATTTTTCTATTGAAAAAGAAAATAATTATGTTTAGGTTTAATATATTTCTTAGACTGGCTGCTTTTCAGTAGTGGCGGCGGGCCCGAGAAATGAAAAATAAACCGTGTGGCCTAACAGCTGCCTGTAAATAATCGAGACCAGACAATCCAGGGAGTGAGTGATATTATAAATAATGATCGACGCCATGATGACAAGCCATCAGCCAAATCACAGAGTCTGACCACCCAGTCCATTCGGTCACCTCGTATGACCAGACTAGCTTGCTGGGACCTATATTAACCCAGAATCCCCATGCTTTTTTATGCAGATTTCACCTTCACCTCAACCAGTTAACTGAACATTGAACAGTTTCTACCATTACCATGGTTACCAAACAAGGTTACTGAAGCAACACAATAAACTGTCACTTGATACATCCAACTATTCTTTTCTTACTGTGAATAACAGTTCTTTTTTATATGCTGATACAGTGGTCTAGTAAATATGTATCATAAAAATGTGCCATCGATGTATGTTAACAGTTATGGAAACTAACATTTTCAGTCCACTAGTCCTTATAATGATAACATATAGCAAAACCCTTAAAAAGTGCAAATTTCTACTAGTCCCTCATCATCTATATCTCGAGGGCTCGCATTTTGGTAGGTTAACCGAAATGCGAGCACTGGAGATATAGAGGATGCTAGTTCTTATGATACCTAAAACAGTTCGGTGAGGACTAGAGGACTAGTGCCAGTTTCTATCACTGAATATTTAAAATGTCGGGTTCAAGGTAAATATAACACCATCACAAATAGGTTTTTGGAAGGGTTTAAATATTATCATCATGTAAGAGGATACATGAATCAGTTTTGCACTGACTCCCAACAACAGGAAAATATAATATACTTTGCTTGTTGGATAATTGCTGGTTATGCAGTCATGTTTCCATGGAAATTATCCTTAAAGGGGAAGTGTACACGCAAAAATCACTTTCTTTCTTTTTCTAAACAAAACGCAATTTTAGAATTAATTAGTATCTGTGTTTGAAAATATACACTCATTTTTTTTCACAGTGAAAGTAGGAAGCTCACAATAGTGTTAAAATGATATGCCGTTATGAGGCCTTCGTTTGACGAGCGAAACAGGCCTGAGTTATCCCCCTTAGATTATGACGTAATTGGTGCCAATTCAACTGGGTCCCTGTCTAATCTCAACGCAAAAGACATCAAGGACCAGTTTGCGGTCAAACAACATGGTCTACGACACACTCCGGCGCAGTAGTGACTCAGCATAACACAATTCTGGCTGGCATCTGAGACGCTAGAATCACAAAACTGTACCTACACCACGTGAAGCGGCTCTAACAAAGCATGATGACGTCATAATGTTTATCAATTGGCACCAATGACGTCATATTGCAAGGGGCATAAGCCATGGTGTTTTTGTTATGGAAATAGAACACTTGGTAAATGTGAAAAATATAAATCGTTTTAATGCAAAAAATATGTTAATTAAATATGATGTTTTTATATTTTTGTCTATGACACTTCTATGTTAACACTTTTAATGTGGAAAAAGTACAAGAAAAATTGGTTCATTTCCGTGTGAACTTGCCCTTTAAAGCAAATGGCAAATCACCCTGTTCACAATTCTACAAGTGGGAAGCTTACAAAGCATAAATGCTCAACAATGACAAAAATATTCTGACAGTATCAATCAGGATAACTCAAGAAATAAAACACCTATTCTAAATAGCAAAAATGTCAAAAACACCTTTCCATACAAAATTATGTCTGTTAACTATACAATGTAAAAATATTATGGAAACACATTTGGCCATGGTGTTTTTAAAACCTAAATTTAACAAATGACCACTGGAGATCATATAATCAGTTGTTTTAACATCAGGTCAATACATACTTGAACAACCAATCTATTAAATTTCTCTAATTT